GGAAGGAAGGAAGGAAGGAAGGAAGGAAGGAAGGAAGGAAGGAAGGAAGGAAGGAAGGAAGGAAGGAAGGAAGGAAGAATTGCATCAATTTGAGATGTTGAGGCTGTTTTCTTAGATGCCTGCTCCTAAAATTTTGGCTTGCTGCTGGCTGCTTGTGAAAACTTCAGCAGCCTTGACTCTAAATTTTATCTGTCCTTAAGCATTTTGCTCAGCTTGTCAACACTGCTTCTAAATTACCTGTTGTTTTCCACGTTCTTCTTTACTTATATAATCTCTTGTTCTCTGCTTAATTTCTAAAGACTAGCTGTTTACATAAGTAGCAGATGATTGATGATGTAATGTATTTTGAGTTGATCATTATATGTCCAATTATTAAAACACACTGTTTTTATTTGAAGACCTGAAATCTGAGCACAATTTGCTCAGAAATCCCCATGAGTAAGATGAGCCACAGAAACTGGTTGCAGTCTAGCAGGGAACACAAGGAGTGTCAGTTGATAGATAACAGCAAAATAGAACCCTTCATCTTTTTTTTTTTTTTTGGTGAGTTACCTCCTATTTGACAGCTGCAGCTGGCTTGTTGACTTCATAGTCTCATACTAATTGACTGCTGGTTTTGATAGGGGAGACTAACTAGTAATCTCTGAGCAGGCATGTAGGTTGCTGGCCAATGAAAATGTTTGGGGGAGGAGAAAATTCTTGGGTGCACGCCTCTCGGATTTGGTTCCCTGTAAAAAGATGGGTGAGGTTTGATGTGTGTGCTGCACATAGGCAGATACTCAAGGGCTGCTAAGAGTGAGCTCAAGTACTCTACTTCCAAGAGGGAGAAAAAGGCAGCTGTTAAAAGTACAAGCTGGCAGGATCATGACAGACCTAAGTAGCAGAAGTGAAGGATTTAAAAAATGCAGAAGTGCTATGTTCAGTATTGATGGCTATAACTTTACGATTGGTGAGTCTGATTTAATTATTCTTCTTTCTTGTCCTTCTTTCCTGTCTTTCTCAGTAGTTCCAGTAACTACAGGTAAAAAACGGCAGTTGACAGTTGCAGTTTGTGGATACATGACTCTGAAATGTGCAGATACTCTGTAACGTTTGCATACATTGGTTTTGCATTCCCTCTTCTGTATTTTCTTCAGCCCAAGAAACTTGCCTTTGATATGCTACAACTCTACATCCTTTTACTAGGATTTGGCACGAGTTCACCAAGATCTTTGCAGTACTTTTTTTTTTGGAAACTTACCTCAAGAAATCCTTGGCTCCAGAATTGAAGGTTTCCAGCTTGCTAGCTTCATTTCCTTCATTTGAAGACAGAATGTCACCCTTGAGACCCTTGGCTTAATTTGCAGTATTTTATTGTTTACTTAGTGTTTTCAAATCCTGTAACCTTCTGTCATTTCTCAGTTTGCACAAAGATATATATAAAGTAATAGGTGCGAAACACAAGAAACAAAATTGCTGTGACAATGAGAAATGTGAGGAAAGAAAAGGAATTTTAAGATGGATTGATGTAGTTGTTTGAAGAATGATGTTTCATGTTTCTATTTGCTGGCTTAGGCAAAAGTGAGGCTTGTCAGAGTGACAAGGCTTTTTCCAAGAGACTTTTTGTACAAAATTTGAGGATTCTCTAAGCAGACTGCTTTTCTACAGCTGCTTAGTTTACTAAGATATGTGTATATATATGTATGCTTATACAAATCCCTATTGATCTTAGAAGTGAGCTTACATCCCATTTAAATTTTTAGATGAAATCCAAATTATAATGTAATAATCAATACAAGTTCCTATTGAATGCCTTTAAGAAAACAGAGATTCTACTTCCTTGCTTGTGGATTCAAGAAAATTTTTCCTGGATAATACTAACATAATTGGCTCAGAATTCCATCTAATAATGATAGATACAAGGTTTTATTGGTGTGGAAGGAGGTACCTCTTTAGTCCTCCAATTTACGGAAAATTTGTTTTGCAATTATTAACATCATGCAAACATTTAGTTTGCTAAAAAAAATGGTGAAGGAAATGTGCATGCTATTAAAATACCTTCAATAGATAAGGTATCTTAACTATCTGTTAATGTTCATATAGGACTTTAAACGTGAAACTGGCCAGGCAGATGCTACTTTGGAAATTTCTTTCCCTGATGGGAAGGCTCTCCACAGGTTGTTGCAATATATTCAGCTCCCCCCCCCCCCCCCCCCCCCCCCCTTTTTTTTTTCCCCCCCCCCCCCCCTCTTTTTTTTTATTTTTTTTTTTTTTTTTTTTTTTTTTTTTTTTTTTTTTTTTTTTTTTAATTCAGGAACAAACCAACAGGATTGCTGAGTTTGTTCCTCTGCTGTTTTTATCGCTACTCATACCATTTGGATGCTTTTGATTCCAGCTCATATTGGAGGTCCAACATGTCTGGTACAGCAGCACTTAGAGGTGGCGTGACTTCATTCAAGTCCCTGATTGTCCACTGTCAGCCTCCATTTCCCATTTGACTTCTGCACTGGCCATATGGTGTAGTTGAAGGGTGAGCGGGTTCTCCTGATTACTCCTTGGCTCTCCAGTCGACAAATTAGTTCATGGATAGGAGTTACAGAGTCTCGGTTTGTGTGATACTGCTACTCCTTGTCCATTTTGTTGTTTTCACTACTGGGGAAATTACTGTAGTTGCTGTGGTTTAGGTCCCTACTTCAGCTGCAGTTGTTGTGGTTTGTGTCCCTACTTCAGCCACAGTGTCCTCAAACACAGTTTGGGTTCCTGCCATGACTACAGTCCTCTGGGAGTATTGAACAGAGGCTTGGTAGGCCACGCCCCAATACAGAGTGAGAAGCTGCTCACATTCGTGGGTGTGAACAACTCTTCTATCAGTTGGTGGGCCAGTTCAATAGGGTTGTTTACTTTCTCAGGAGCCAAGTCTCAGGTAACGGGAGGTGTAAACTACCCTAGGAACCTGTCCAAAGATCCCTCCAAACACCTTTCAACCCAAGAATTGGGTTCCTAAGGGGAGATTTTAACAGCTGCTTACCCAAAGGTTGTTTCCTTTTGCACCAGGATGATGACAAATTCCATTAATTCCATAGTGTAGCATCAGTCTTGGCTGATATTATTAATAATATTAGGTAGCTTATATAAGGATTGGCAATGACTATGGGAGCCTGCAGTAAAAAATCATCCATAAAAACTCACCCTGGGTGGAGAGAAGGAGTTATATTTATTCATAGTCCTCATTTGTTTCAACATGTTCCCAGACGAAGCAAAATAAAGATAAGCTGTGTGGCTGCTGAAGACCGTGTGGCACACAGGAGCTTACTACTTGAGAACTGCTGCCAATTACTAGAGCATGCAATATATGTATATAAAAAACTGCTTCTATCTCACCCCTGTTCAGGCACCAAAATGACTGTAGTGGGTTGACCCTGGCTGGGTGCCAGGTGGCCATTAAGTTGCTCTACTTACCTTTGGGCCAGGGAAGAGAGTAAGATGGAGAGTAGCCAGTAGGGGTGAGATAAAGTAGGGGTGAGTTTTATTACAGCAAAAGAAAAGGAATAAGCAGAGATTTGTGTTTGCAAAAGTTAAAGGGGGAAAAAGTCACATTCTCTACTTCCCATTAGAGTTGTTCGGGCACTTCCCCAGAAGCAGAGCTTCAGCACGTGTAACAGCTGCTCCAGAAGGCAAACATTGAAAACTCATTAATGTCCCCCCTTCCTCCTCTCTCTCTTATCTTATATATCTGAGCTGATGTCATATGGTATGGAATGTCCCTTTGGTTGATTTGGGACATCTGTGTCCCCTCCCAGCATCTTGCCCACTCCCATCCCCTCTGATGGGGGAAGGAATGTCAGAGTGATACTGGTGTTCGACACTGGTCTCTTATCACCACCCTTCCAGCTATTAATACAAAGTACAGCAGTGGGAGGACTGTGAGCTTTACCTCAGTCAGACGCAATAAAATTAAATTAAACTTGTATATTTGATTTTGCTGGGGTGGACTTCGTAAACTAAGTAAAGAGTCTTTGAAAAGACTAGTGATAGTTCTTGTAGTCTATAGTGTGGTGGCACTATTTTTGAGGAACTCTGCCCATTTTCCTCTGGATGTTCTGACTTATCACTGCTACCTGCTGTTCACATCTGTGCTCTTCTGCCTATATCTCAGCATCCAGAGACACGGCATTTGGGGTTATTCCCTTATCTGACCAGTTTTGACTGGTTACCAGGCAGAGTTACACAACAGGCTCAGCAGCAGCTCACAAAAGATTTCAGGTCCCAGACTGCAGGTGACAGGGTCTCATTGAAAGCACTATTTCCCTCCCTCCCGTGTATTTTGTATTTCAGGGAAGCTGCTAAAAGTAAAACTTTTTCTGCATGTTTTGATTTGAGTGAAAGAACATCCCTGTTCTCTGAAGTTGAGCTCCATACATGGGAAAATAACCTCCAGACTTTTTCAAGTGGTTTGGTTTTGGGTTTTTTTTTTTGTTTTTTTTTGTTTTTTTTTTCTTTTTTTTTTTTTTTTTTTTTTTTTTTTTTTTTGGGTAAGATTGCCAAATTATGAGTCCAAGTTTTGGTGCCTGGTCACCTCTGAATCTAGATGCAGGACTAATGTCATCAAATGGTCTAAATTCCTTAATGTGTTGAGAAAAAGATTCAGTAATGTGAAGTAGCTGTGAAAACTGAGGTTTTGGGGCAGCAGAGATTCAAACACAAGGTGGAAATAAGGCAGAAGGTGGAGACACCTGGCTGGATACAAGGACACCTATTCTCTTTGTGCTGGATCCCAGACCAAAAGTTTGTCCCCCTATTCATCATCTGTGAAGGACAGAAGTGCAGTCAGGCTTCTTATACATACAACAAACTCTGGTTGCTCCCTAGCAGAAAGGGACACATCCTACCATGGTGAGAAATAATGTTGCCTTTCCTTTTTTTTTTTCTGTCTGCTTTTTGGCCAACTATTCCTGCTCCCAGTGCCTTCTGATTTGATGCAAAGATATTAATTTCAAAATTCAGATTTCCTAGAATCCTTAAATTTAAAAAGAAAGAAAGAGGCATAAAGTTTTCTGTGCCTTTTAAGCTCTGTTTTAGGCAGGTAGTCAGGGCTGTTCCTGAACAGGCAGGCACTGACCCTTCTCTCAAGACAGTGTCCTCTCCAATGTCAAAAGGCAGAGGTCTGCCTTCTCCTCCTCCTGCTGAGGATCAAAGCCTAGGAGGCTTTCAATCTAACTGTGTTTGGGAATTTGTGTTTTTGCTGCAAATTTTCTGTTTTACACCTTTGTTCTCTATTAATTGGCCCATTGTCTTGATGTAAATACAAGTTCATTTTCCCTAGTTCTGTAGTTTTGCGTAACTAAGAAAGCAAAAGGCTCCTGGACATATCACTCACTTATTTGTGTATTACTGCAAATCAAGAGGCAGAATCCTGACCAGCAGTAAATCTGCATCACTCCACTGCAGTTGGGAGAACTGCAAAGGTTTAAATGAGCAAATGATCTGTCCTGGTCTTTTGCAGTTAAAGTTGCTGTATGTTAGAAAACTGCCCTACATACAAGGCAGGCAACTCCTGCAGCTTGCTTGCTTGCAAGACTTCATCAAAATTATGCTGATATGATTTTGCTCCCTATTTCTCCCTGCCAGGTGACAGGGCTTGTATCTAAGAAACCTGCTGATACTTGAGTCCAAATTTCTAATAGCTACAGGCTTGAAATGTTCAGGACTGAGAACTGAATGCTCATGATTACACCCAAATTTTTTGTACTATGACTGCATGGAAAGTTACGTGTGAGGTGCAGGGAAGATTGCAGTAATTACTGAACAGATGCACTTAATGAAGCCTCTACTGGCTTTCCAGCTGGTGAGTAGAATGTTTCACTGGAACAACATTGTCTTGGTTTGAAAGACAGGTGTTTGTCAATGAAGGCAGGGACCCCCCTTAGAGTGGTGGATACGACCCCACGTCCCTCCAAATTATTGTAGCTT